CCATAGCTGTGGTTCTGGGGGGGGAGGGGGATGCAACAGAGCCCAAAACCAGCAGGGGGGATCCAGCGGTAGGAGAGGAAGTAGAGAGATCACAAAGCTGCATCCTACCTGTACCACAATCTAAGCTGGTGATGGAGCCATTCAAAGAGCCACGCAGGAAAATCCTCCCAGCACAACATGATGCTGTACCCTTGACGGGGGCAGAGAGCTCGGCTCCAGCACAGATCCATTCAGGAGCTAAAAATAGACACCCCCCCTCCCTCCCCAGCGTGTCACTTGAGATCCCAGCGTGATGGGTTCAGAGAGGGCAGGCCCATATATAGAAGCTGGTGGGAAAGATGAGAGGGTGCCAACTCCTGATGCCCACTGCTCGCTTCTGCCCTCTGCCTGGGGTTGCTCCGTGGGGTGGCCAGCAGAGAAGCTGGGGAGGGGTCTGGAGCCCCAGGCTGCTGGGGAGCGGCTGGGGGAGCTGGGGGGGTTCAGCCTGGAGCAGAGGAGGCTGAGGGGAGCCCTCATCGCTCCCTACAACTGCTTGAGAGGAGGGGGGAGCCGGGGAGCGTCAGGCTCTGCTTCCAGGGAATGGGCGATGGGATGAGGAGAAATGGCCTCAAGTTGTGCCAGGGCAGGGTTAGGTTGGACATTGGGAAAAATTTCTTCCCCAAAGGGCTGTCAGGCTCTGGAAGGGGCTGCCCAGGGAAGGGGTTGAGTCCCCATCCCTGGAGGGATTTAAAAGCTGGGCAGAGGAGGTGCTTAGGGACATGGTTAAGTAGTGGACAGGTACGATTGGACTCGATGATCTTAAAGGCCTTTTCCAACCAAATGATTCTATGATTCTATGAAGGGGCCCAGGCCACAGAGCTCAACAGCCTTTAGCACAAGGCGGAGCATGACATCTGGATGGCAATGACTGCTCTTTTTTCAACATACTCACCTCTTTGCCTCAGTCTGTAGGTTACCCATTTCTAAGGTGACAAAAACATGCCTCAGGGGTATAGCTCACCTATTGATAGCATTCCTAGGGCACTTATGGCCGGCCTACTGCAGATTTACATCAAAAGATCACAGCCAGCATCACGGTCCTGTGACAAACCTTGCATGGTGCGTGGCAGCCACCCCATGCTGCCCTGGAGCATCTGGTGTGAATGGCAGAGGGAGCCTTGGGTTGGAGGCTCAGGGTGAGCCTGGCACGAGGGGGTTACAGGGGAAGCAACTGGCCGAGGCTGGCCTGGCGGGGCAGCAACCAGAGCCAGAAATAGCCCTCAGCTCCTGCGAGTCCCGGAGCCTGCCTCCTACTGCACGCCCTCCCCTGTCCCAGGGGCCAGAAATAGATGCCCTGGAGTAGCTGCCTGCAGCACAGTGTGGGTGAGGGCGAGCCCAAGCCCAGCTCCAGGCCCTGCCGGCCCCAGCACCGCCCCAAGGCTCTGGCCACCCCTTTGGTCACCAGGCTGCTGTAGACCCCAAACTGGCGATGGCCCAGCCATGTGGATGCTGCGGGAGACGAGAGGGACCCCCCCCATGCTCTGCATCCACCTCAGGGTCC